ATGTCGGGATTTTTCGTTGTACCATATTTTTCGCTATGCCATCGGGTACGTTACTTGTACTTGTACTGTATCGTTGCTTCCTTCAATGGGGCCCAGGAATGTTCAGGCACCCTACCGCAATGTGTGGCGGGTGATGTGCTAACTTGTCGTGTTATCCGCGCGGTGCTCTACCTGTGGACGATACAATGGTGAAAACCTGGTGGATTGCAAACAGAGCTCACTATCATAACATATATTCTTAGTTGCCCTGCGTTGACGAATTCACTCTTTGGCCTGCCAAGTACCGGTACCCTGCTCGCCGCCAGCCGGTTTTCCTCATGCCCCCCAGTGTTGAAGACAGTACGGTGGTCTACCGGGCCCGGGGGACTACCTGTACTGTGAAGACCCTTGAAATCCCTATCGAATTACAGTACTAACCAACGATAGCAGATTGGTTCACCGTACTCCGACAGGTCAAGAGGATTATGGGTACCGGGTAACGAGATCCGGCACATCCCGTGGACTAATCCTGTACCGTGCCGGGGAAAGCGAACCCTTCTCGGGGCCTCTTGCGACTGAATCCCGGGATTTACGGTAGAGGCAGGCGAGGGATGGCGAATTTCGGGAGATCCAGCGGTAGCCTCGTTCCTCGCTGCAGGATCCAACGGACCAACCCGACAATAAACCTATCCGGTCCAGCCATGGCATAGTGGTGCACACCCGTTTGTACAGCTATGCTCGAGTTCCGGTCTCGCGCCGAATCGAAGGCGCTCGACAAAAAAGGTTCCCTAACCATCCCGCCAGCCTCCACCACACACACACACCCTTCCATAGCCAGTGCACTGACAACGGTACTCGCACAGGTACAGTACCCGTAGCAGGCAATAAGTATTCGACAGCACGAGTTTCGGCAATCATAGTCGTCCCAGCCTAATTGTTTGCCTTGCCCGGACGATACCCGCGCCACCACTGCTGGGTTTGTATTACCGCTGGTTTAGACTTTATATACCGCTAGTTAGTTACATCCCGCCGGTACCTCATATGGAATATTTGCACGGCCGGATGCATGAGCTAAAGGATAATCATCAATCGGGTCACAGTGCCGGTGCGGGTAGGCCACCTGCTCCCTCGTAGGAGAGGCGGATTGGTGTAATGGAGTGCGGACAAAGCTGTGTTTGATAGATACTTGTAGAGTTTAACACCAACATTTACACGGTACCGTAGAGTGGCGGCTGAAACCCAGGTCAAGGAACCCGTTCCGCTCTGGGTTTTGAAAGTGAATGTTCGGGGCTGCACCGAGAGCCCAGTCTTTGATTTGTGCGAAGTGGGGTTTTGCGTACCAGCGAACCGGGGCCCGCACTTGTACTCGAGCACTCGCCCTGATATTTACTGTTGTGCAGGAGGATACAAGCAATTGATACCCGTACCGGTGCTACTGGCGGCTGAAGAATTTGTGTATTAACGCCTTTGTTGAATGAACGCCCTTTATGGTTTAAACGTTTGGAGAGGATGGGCCGGTACATTTCTTTTGTTCAAGCTATGGTGCCGGTGCTGTACTGGTACTCGAGTGTCACGGCGGCTGAAGATTTCTAACCATATTGTTAGGACAGCCTATACGGGAGCCTACAGGTAATTAGAGAACTAACTACCAACGGTACACTTTGCAAGCCAGGTCCAAGGGAAGGGCACAGAACCGTGGGGTTGATTGAGATGGGGAGATCGGTGTCGTCTACCGTATACTCGAGTACCGGTACCGTAGTACTTGTGCGGTACTCGAGTACTTGTCAGGGTCCCCGTGTTTCATGGCAGTAAGCCCCGGAGGTCGCTGATATCCGCATCAACTGGCGACAATCGCTCGCGGCTAGATCGCCAAGATATGGGTCTTTGGAATCCATCTCAAACTGGCAACAAATCATCCTCGCTTTAGCTCCTTGTGGCCGGACCGGACTTATTTTGGGCCATGTTCGGTGTTTCATTTAAGCCCCTGCCCCATTTCAACGTGACAGCTGCGGGCGGTTATCGTCAGTTGGTGCGGTTTTTCACATCCCGTTGTCCTTGACTTGGTGGGTTGAGCTTGGGTTACCGGTAACCTATTGGCCTAGTGGTCAAGAGACGTGTCTTGATCGCTTGACTGGAGGGGATTGGAGGTGGGTTACACGGCCGAGCTTCTCGCAAGGCAGAGCCGGGCTTTCCACTGCCGTATCGACACAACACCGCGCCCTGTACTCGAGTACCCCTACCGGTAGGACAAAGAGGTTGAAAACCCATCATCTCTGTCAGCCTTCTCCGAGTAGTCTCTGGAATCTGCATCAAGGGCTCCCAAGAAGGGCTGCTGCAAGCCACTAGTTCTCTTATGGCCTATTCTTGTGGCAGGCGTGCTTTCGAGGGATCGCAACTGCCGTACAGAGAATAGCCAAGGTTCGAGTTCACCTAGTACTCGATTGTACGGGTCGTATTTTCCCGATTACGGCACAGGATGGCCTAACCGGATGTGTCGGATCCCATTAATTGGTATCATAACCTTGTTAACCTGTTAAACTAAACCTATCATGGGCTAGAAGGGTTGATTCCTGTCGATGAATCGATATGGACGGTAGATTTAAGGGGTTTTAAATGTGTGATGCCAGTACACGTAGGTTCTTTTTTTTCTTCTCACCATTTTGCGGGGCTTCAGGATCTGTCGTGGGTGAGAGTGGGTGGGTGATAGCAGGGAGGCATTGCCGTACTAGTACAAGTATTATACGAACCCATCTCCAATTCGGCAAATTAGTTAAAATGGTTGAGAGGCACCAACTAGGTCAGATCTGGGATATATTTTCTGATTAACTTGAGTTAAATATTCCCTCACTTTTTCCATTTAGCGCTTACAGTGTTGGCCATCGATGTGCTCCTTTGCGCAATCCGGTAGTCTACTCGATTGACGGTAGAGTATCATACCTCTACCAACTTGAACCAGCAGGCCTGGAAACGATTACAAATTTACAACCCCCTCTGGGGCAGATCCGGGCAATAACTTCTTGCCGGACCCTTGATATCTAGGCCTCCCCCTATTTCGTCAGCCTGCTATACCTCTACTCGAGTACCGTAACGCGTGGCTTCCTGGCTGGCGCACAGCCTCGTACCAAATGTCATAAATCTAATTCCACACTCTCAGCACTCGGGTAGCACTGGATTGGTTTGCCGGTACCGTTACTAGTACAAGTAGTACCAGTACCAATACTGTACTCGAGTACTGTACAGTAAATTACCGTATTCATGGGGAAGCCGTTCTCCCTGATGGGTCAAGGGTCAGCAAGACCAACTTGAGGATGATACATGTCAGCTTTTACCATACCGGTATGCTATCTAAAAAGCAAAACATCGCCTTCCCCCCGTGGTTCTCGCACCCCCCACTTGTCCATGTCGCCTCCCCACCCATACCCCCTGCCGACATCAACTCTTCTTCTCCACACCCTCAACAAGCCTGTTAAATGGGTCTTGGGGTCTCTCTCGTTTTGATCAGCAGTAAAAACGCTTTGCCGGTTTCTCTTTTTTTTTTTTTTTTTTCCCATCCTCAGCTCTTCTTCCGTCCACGTCTGGTGCTAATCTTACTATCGACGTCCAAAAAAGATGTCCTTCGGTATCTCCATGGGTGACTTTATTGCTGGAGCGAAGCTCGCTTGGGACCTCTACCATAAATGCTTCCTGGTAGCTCCTCCCCGTCCCTTCAATCGTTAAGCCGCGTTGTAAGTTAATGCGGGAAAAAAAAATACTCCTCACAGGTGGCGAAAGATGCCCCGAACGAGTTTCTCGAGTTGATGCGAGAACTTAGCTCCCTTCGCGGAGTCCTTAAGTGCATCGAGGATGAGATCAGCACCCGGCGAATAGACGAGCCCCGGCAACTTGCAATCAAGAGAACAATGGACGGCACAACGCATACGCTTCGGAGACTTGAGTCCCTAGTGCTCAAGTATAGAAAACTAGGGTTTAGTGATGGGCTGCATTTTTGGAAGAGGATAGGATGGGTTAGAGAACAGCGGGATATAGAGGGATTCAGAGTAAGGATCATGATCTATGCTTGCACTTTGAATCTTTGTGTTAGTTCTGTTGGGGAGTAAGTGTTCGCCGTTATCGATAGTGACTGTTGGCGGGATGGGTTACTTATAAGGTCCTACAGATCGACAATTAGTACGATAGAAAGGGATTTTAAACAAGCCCTTCAACAGCAGAGCCTGTCCAACTTGGATAGTGTCCTTCCATTGGGCTTTGTGGAGAATTCGCGAAGAGAGAGCCAAGCATCCCGCTTCACAGACCAGAGCAGTCTCTCCCAACGAGAAGGCAATGAATCCCCAACCACCAGCCCACCAGCCTCGGAGTACCTCGGCCCCCCAGCCAGCGTACGCCCCACTAGCCCGATGGGATCTGTGAACTCCACAGCCACAGACCTCATAGACTTTAGTATGGATATGGACCCGGACAGCTCCTCTGCGAGTGTACTAGATGTGCTCGCTCGCGCGAGCGATCTACTTTCCAACTGCTCTGAGCGGGGGTCCGTCCTGCGACCGCCCGTGACGCTAGATTGGGACCCGCCGAGTCTGGGAAATCTTGTTTCTGACGCCGCGCATAAGAGGTTCTTGACGAATGCCGGGAGGGCGACTGGAGATCGGCGGATTCCGGTCGAAGACCTGTTGAGGACGGGCACTTGGTGGGTTTTAAAGGTACGTGACATGCATCTTGAGAGAAGGCTTTTGCACCGTCCTAAAATTTAGTCGCTGCAGTCAAGAAACACTGCCCGCCTCCAAGACAACTCAATTCCAAATGCAAGCACTGCATCTTCCATTGACCCCAATTCTGGCCTTTACCAGGCGTATTTTGATCTCATGAAAGCCTCCTGGCTCCTGTACAATTACCTCCTCTCGGACCCGGATAATACCGTCAATATGTCGGACGAGGATATTAAATCCTTCACTACCTTGCAAGATGTAATTAACCCCCCTTCTGGGCATCTTTCGCTGACGCAAAACCCTCAAGGCGGTTGACGAAGACTTTGAAAATTTCCGCCGAATAGGTCTCTCTTCCGACGACATTGAAGATATGAAGCTGAACGACAAAATTTGGGAGGCCAAACAGCCAAGAGAAGTCGCCTCCGATGAACGAGAAAGGAATCCACTACTGGATCCAGGAAGGTGGCTTACCATAGAAGAGAACCATGCGGGTAGCGATAGTGAGGAGAGCCATCTGCGAATGCATGTACATGCAGGCTCTAGTTTATTTGGTATCTGCGGTATGGTGGCTGACTGGGTTTGTTTATTTTATTTAGCTTCGTTAACGCGGAACTCGGCAACAAGCGGGTCAGAATGAAAACCAGGGACGCGCGCTACATGCTAATCCTTTGGACGAAGGACGGGCAAAGCGAGCTAAAGATTACGCTGTGTAATCAGAGTGGAACATTGAGGATCTCAAGAGATAGTATGTCGCTCCCCCCCCTGCTCGGATGCCCTGTGATATTCGGGGCGGCGCTGACAGCAACCAGTCACACTGGAGGATATTAGACCTTTCCGGAGGGTGAACGAGGGATCGAATGTACCGCCTGCCGTGGATATTGAATTCCCGGAGATGGAGACCACGATCCACTTCCTACACATTAGCGGTAAGCTCTGCACAGTGGGCGACGGCGCCCCCTTCACCCGAAAGGCAATGTTAGGAGTTAGAAGTCGGAACTCTAGGCAAATATTTGAGAGGCAGGAAGTTCGCCATTGTGTGCTCTTTGATTGCCCCCGGTATTACCCTGGGAATATGCGCCAGGGTTCTGGATTTCCGACTTCTAACTTTCATTTATGCATGCGGGCCCATCACTATCGCGGGAAAGAATCGTGCTCACTTAGATACCAATTTTAGACTTCCGCACCTTCGTTGGGATACCAACACGCTTCTTCGATGCAGTTCAAGAACGCAATCCTACCTCCGGTAACGAAACCGAGATATACCGACGGTATCACCCCTACTCATTCCACCAAGACCTACTCCTAACGTTCCTTATTGTTAGTGACCTTCACCACCTCGAATTGCTCCACCCAAACACGAATAGGCCCATAACCCCCGGCAAAGCTTTCCACTCGGTTGATCTGCGTGTCTACGAGACCGCCGGAGAAGAGGGTTGGATGACTACTCGCCGCCTAGTCCTTAGTAGCTCTGCCAGCGCGGCACAACCCTGGTGTAAAAGCTATTTCTTGCCGCTAAGCGGGGTGCGGATGAGGAGCGACGGACCACAGAAGTTAACTGTCAGGTGGTCCGACTGTGGGCACAGGGTTTCGGCTTCGAACGGGGCGTTTAATGAAGTCGTCTCTTACGTCTATGATGAGGAGAAGCCAAATATATGTCTGGGGTTGGGGTTTGGATCTGTTGATGGTAAGTGTTCACCTTCGTAAGGCCTGTCGTTGCCCGGAGGCTAAACATCTAAACAGATGCCAATTGTTTTGAGGAGGTGGTTTCAAAGTTGTCCTTGAGAGAGAAGTATCGATGGGACTCTACACAGGAATGCCGTTACATCTATTCCATCCGAAACACAGCCAACGGTGCAGAAAGATTCAAAGGATTGCTTATCAGGCACCGCGGCTCAGAGTGGAGGTATTCTGAAGCATTCTACCGTATGTTCCCCTTGTTTCAAATATTTTTTGGAGTGGCGGTACCCAAAACGGGAAGCTCGAAATTGGAAGTCAGAACTGTTGGTAAATGCATGAGGGGGTGGATACTACTTCACGGATAGGAGGTTATTGTGATTGCGTATCCATTTCTTTCTCTCGCGTTGGGCATAGCTACCATAGCTTCTGATTTCTAACTTCTAACTTTCATTTATGCGCGGGGGTGCCGTCGCTCTATTCCTCCCTTTTTCTCTTGCTAAGTCGCCTGAAGTGCCCCGGGACCTGGACTTTGAGCTCAAGAACAACGGCCCCAGGCTTCGGCTTTTGAAAGCGTACTACGCGAATTACATTTCGGACCATGTTGAACGATTATACGACTTAGAGCCAGGGAAGCAACCCAAGTTTTCGCACTGTGAAAAGAAGGTTGATTCTGTCAACCTATGCTTTGGATCTATAGATGGTATGCCACCGTATTTGTGCCATCCCTCTTTCCTGGGACCTTAATGGATCAGCTAACACCTCGTAGATGCGCAAAGCCTCCTCCGCCATATAACGGATAGATGGGAACTAACGTTTGCCCGGTATCCCCCCCTAATTCGTTTCCTCCCCTTCAGTGTGCTGACGACTATTAGCCAAATCGCCCGCGTATCCCACAAGCCAACGAACCAAAAATCCTTCTTCCGCGTTGCCGGCTCCTCCGGCTTTGGCCCAGCGGATCTCTCCCTGTGGAAAAAAGGCAACGTCCACCGCTTAGTCATCCGCCGATGTCCACCCCACTCTTCCTCCGCGGAGCTGTACCTGACAGCCCTTCTGCATAAGGATTTCGATCACGATTCTGAAAAGTTGGTAGTACAGAAGAATGTGGAGATAGCGAGGGGCGTGTTGCTGGACATCGCCACTATGGAGGCAGTGGGTGGGAAGAAAGGGGGCGGGGCTGCTGGGGGTGGAGGGGGTGGGTGGGTGAAAGCGAGTCAGACTTTAACGATTGAGTTTGGGACGGTTCGAGGTTGGTTTTTTGCCCTTTGAGTGGAAGGTTTGTTCTTTGGCTAACGTGGGGGGCACGACAGAGAGGGAGTTGCTCGCAGAGGCGTTGGAGCCGAGTTTGCTCTAAAATATTACTTCTGTTGGGAATTTAATTGTCTTATATCTTTCTCCTCATACTTCCTTCTTTACTTTTCCTTTCACCACTAGGGGCCAAGGTGCAGCCTTCATTTTTCCCTAAGCGCGTTAATATCCCAACGAAAGCACGTTTTTCCTCAGGCCTCACTTTGTTTTGTTTCATCTCCCTCTCTCTCTCTCTCTCCCTTCACATGCAAACCAAGGATCTATAGCTCCGGGTGTTCTAATGGTGGAATTCCAGTGTTCTGGTACAGTACGTCGTTTCATATGGCGGGGGTAATTTAATTTCGTTAATGCATTTTCGTTTCGTGGATTGGTCTCCTTTGTGCTCTTATGGCCCTCTGGTGCGCTGGGGTAGGCACTCAGTTTTTATTTCATATCTCTGGTCTGGAAGTCAGCATGCCGGTAGCCAATCTGCTGTGTTCGGTATGCAAGCCCCATAGCTTGATCGCCGATTTTCTGTCAGCCCATGTCACAAATTTGGCCGTATCGGCCGGTGTCGGGGCGCCAGGAATTTCTTCAGATCAAGTCCACCTGGGGAGCCCAAACAACCCAGTGAACCAACCTAAGAGCGTGTATGATATACCGATCTTTGGTGTAGGGATCCCAGCGGAGAACCGGGAGCCAACGGTGGCGCTCTCCCACCTTGTATGGGGTTAGCCCCTCACTTCTCCAGACAAGGCACACTGGATGAGAAAAAAAAGATAGGACAAGGAACTCTTCTTCAAACCTCTGGGAGGTTCGAGTTTGGATACGCCATGGGTCGCAAGCATTATTCTCGGGAAGGTCTCTATTGTGTCGTCTGTTGCACAACTGTATGTTCCTTTCTTCATAGATAGTCACTCGTATTTTCTGTGGCTTTGTATGAACGAGGAGAGAAAGGGGTTTTTGATTTTTTTTGCCGTGTGCGTAGGCGTGGGTTTATATCAAAAACTGGGAAGCAGAATAGAAGGAAAAAAGGGATAACGGAAAGTCGAGATTGCTATTATATGGAGACCTCGGAAGGAGGAGAGTGACAGTAAGGGAAGGGGTCATAACATGGTTGAATATGGAATGGTTATGAGGCGAAGGGAGAAGAGATGAGAAGAGGTCAATCGGTGTTTAACGTTGAAGAGAGCAGGGAGGAAAGGGCTAGAAGCAAGAGAAACTAGATGAAAGGAGGCTAGTTTGTTTAGTACAAAAGCACCAAATCCGATATTTTCTACGGACTTGTGTGGGGGGGGGGGCACGACTCAAACTGTATTTCTGTTTTTCTTATTGGTAATACAATTGGTGGAGAAATCTCCCTGGAATTATCCTCGAAGAGGATCGCCTTGTGTCGAATTTAGACTCTTATCACCAGAGAATATTTGTGATCTGCAGTCGGGCCACCTGTTTGCAGGCCAATTGAGTTGGGTTCAGATTGGTTGCGCGATCCGGGGTTTGTGTCTGTGTCTTTGCTGAAAGATTACCTCATGTAACCCGCCCGTCCATGTCGGTCTTATAGACAAGTCTGGTGGTTTCAAACTACAATGTTATTCTGTGGTGGAACATGGCCGACTTCAGCGATTTAGAGTGGTCTCTACTTGGTAGGAGGAGGAAAACGGACAAGAGAGGTGTGAATTGTTGAAACATAATATGGCTGGACGTAGTGCTTCGGCCACCTCAACGCAATCCCTCAGTGTTTGGAAAGATTGTGTACGAGCTTGGCGACAAAAGAAACGCACCCCCCCCCCATTTCACACCAAAAATGTGGATTTTCACTTCACAACATCTCATCTTTATCACTTGTAAAAAGAATCAAAATTTCCCTAAGCCTTTGGAGCCATCTAGATATTATTATTTATAAGTGAAAAGCTCTGTTAGTTAATGCCCATGGAGTAATACTAGAAGGAATGATAGTGGTCAAAAGGTACTTCTAATTTTGTATAGGCCTCCCATACAAAAGGTACATTGCAACAAGATTGAATCTGTGCTCTAAGCTCTTAGCCATTCTTGTGGAGTGGGAAAATTCTGATAAAATCTACCTAGAAACTCTAGGTAATTGCCTACATCATGGCACTAATTCTGTTAGTTCTATGTTGTTTTTGGTTGAGTTGTGATTGCTTAAAATCGGCCATTTTTGGTGTAAAATGGGGGGGCGGTGCGTTTCTTTTGTCGCCAAGATCGTACCTACTCGATGTACCAGATACGGTAAGCTTGGGACATTGGGAATGAAACGGATGGTCAATGGACGCCGATTATGCATGCCGGATTTGTATCGGTATTGTTTGAAGGTCCGGGACTGTGCGGGATATCTTACTTTTCATTATGTTACCTATTTCCCCTCTATGACTCCGATATTTCGCCGACTTTCTCTGTAAATGACACTACACTTTGTATTTTTTTTTCTTTTCGGATAATCGTTCGGGAAACATGTACATTCCCCGACCCCTTAGACGATATCGATATCCACCCATTGTTTTACCGCCCCATATAATAGTAAATATCCTATACCCGCATTCAGACACCTGCCCCATATACCCTACACGAATTCCCAACACCGAAATCCTCCCACCGATTACCCCTCCCTATTAGGCAGGGGAGCTCCCGGGTCCCCCGTTGGAGAGTGGGTAGTCGATGCATGTACGTTCCCGGAAGTGCCAAAAAAAAAGAAGAATGAAGAGAGGAGCAGGAAGGCAGGATCGGCTGCTCGCCCACAGCACCATAGCAGTTGCGTCATTGGAGGTGTTGGTGTTGCCCTTGAACATGGGTGTGGATGCTGGAGTGGATAGCTGTGGGGGTAGGGCGGTTTTATACACCTCAGGGATCCTCTAGGTATTTGACTGTGTTGGAAAACACAAGTAAGTATAGGGCGGTGGACCATTTCCCCGTCCCTGGAGTGTAGATATGCCACTGGAATTGCCGGGTCAAGGTGGATGAATCGTAGGGCGCTGTAGTCTCCGAGGCTTGCAGCCTGATCTTTGTCTAAGCAGGGCGAAATACAAGTTTGATCTATTGTAATATTGTAAAAGGGTTTAGGACGACGACGAGGGATAGGATCCGGGGGTATAGGTAGGTAGTAGTGAAGGGTAGTTTTCGTCGGGAATAGGGACCCTGATTTCCTCTCCATGTATCATATTGGCGACTAATTATATTCTCGGTATATCCGAAGCACTATTCAATTCCCCTACCCTTGGCCGACGCTCTTTACGCCCCGGTTATTTCACTAAGCCTCTCGAGTTACCACCCATATCTCTGGGGTACTTGCCGGCATGGCGTCGGATTGCACAGATCGAGATTCAGGTTCAACTTTGAGCTGTCTGTGGACGATTAGGGAAGCAGCCTGTAGATATAGAGTCCAACCAGGCGGGCCATACCGTATAGACCCACGGCCGGACAAACGCTAGAAACTAGCCTGTGAGTGGTGGTTTGTTCACCTCGTTCGATTGGCTCAGATCAAAGTTGGATGGCGAGGTAAGGCTGGTGTGGTCACCACTAGCCGCATACTGTGCCCGAAATTTTTCCTAGTGCTCCTCTATCGAAGGTACGATTTCCGTGAATTTATACGGTAGTGAGACTGACCTAGGTTTTGCTCGACCGGGTTTTCCTCTAGCCTGGAGCTTTCATGGATCCCTGGTGGTGCTAACAGTCTTTCGGTATTGCCATGCGGTCAGGAATTGTTCCGCCAATGGCTTGTAGATGTCTTCAGATACTCACCAATGGCTTCGGATACCGGTGCATTCTTGTAAATGTCTTGAAATAAGCCGTAGTGATTCCCGGAGATAATTTTACATGCCCGTAGATAAGTGTCAATATAATTGCTATTATTTTTTTAATAAGATACACTATCTGAACATATTTTCTGACGGCTTGGAGGTGGGGCATGGGGAGAGAAATTGTGATCATCTCAATGGATGTTAAGCATTGGGAGTAGCGTTTGTTCAGGGGGGTTTCCTATCGCTAGATATATGATATGCAAATAAGTTACTCGCTCATTCCTAATTGATATTTGGTTCCAAAGCTATATACCACTACCACTCGGTCACCACCAAAGACCTCAGGTCCCTGGCACTTTACTAATGGGCTCTTCTCCACTACATGGCCCTCCGTGCACTAGGCATCCTGATTGTTCCCTCTGGGCCACAAATTTTTTTCAGAGCTTCGTGGTTAGGTTGGATGCAGCTATTCGTGTGGGGTTCCTTCAATAGCCGAAGGCCCGAATTTATCTCCTGATTACTTGTGCTGCGGCCATTTTGCTAGCTGATCGTATAACAGAGGGCTCGGTTACCCATTACTGAATATCGCCGGCATATAGTGGAATCTGATATAAGGTGATTTACTTTCGAAGTTCGGTTTAAATTGGTCTAGTGGTTTCTGCATTAGGGAGTTTTGGGTGGTTGGGGGTGTCATTATGGAGCATGCTGCTACTGATAGTGATATGAGTACACGCTCCAAGACTGCACTAAGCTAAGATCTGCGCCCGGGTGTTTTAACGCCCGCGGTCCGTGGGCGGTGGTGGTGGTGGAGAGAGCGTGTCGCACCTGTGTGGCCATGTGGGTGCAGAGGCTGTCGGTATATGCAAAACTTTTCTCTTCTACCGTAAGAACTCGAATAAAGAGCCCTTGTGCTCTAAAGTCCAGAATTTCCTCCCTGGGAAAGGGGGAAGAAACACACCAAGAGTCTGCCCTCCGAGACAAATAAAAATGAAAAAACACCTAACCTTGCTAGGAGAGGCAAGTCCAACGAGCTAGCACAAGGGCCGTTTATTCGGGTTTTTACGGTATTCGTGTCAATATACACACGTCCTGGAACTCCCCAGGATTAGAGAATCATGATCGGTCACTCGGAAGGTTAAAGATACTGTATCCGTAGTCTGGCAAGGTCAGCTTCTCAAGCTAGACGGACTGCGAGCCGCGTTTCCTCTCTTCAGGCTTATTTTACAGTCTCCTAGTAGAGCTGCCGGGGCCTGGTGCCATTGTATATTTAGGAGGGAGATTGCCCTTGGTTTCGGCCCAAATTCATGGACTTGAGTTTTTTCCACTGGAATATAGCTGACTGGGAGAGAAAAGCGTTGGGAATGCACCAGAGGACTCGTATCTAGTAGTAGTGAAGACTCTAAGTGCTTTCTAAGAATTTAATCCCTCTTTGTGGTGTAAATATATGGAACTGGGTCATATTTGGGAACTACTAGGTGATGGTATATAATCCCTGCAATAGCATGTCGTGGTGTTGAGAGTATAATACAGATATGGCAGAGCAGAGGAACACAGGTGTGTGTGGCAACATGTACGAGGCTGGTGCCAAAAATCGCCGGTAGAAATCCAACATTGCAGCTACAATAACATCATTCCTCATTAGGTGAAAATGACCACTACTGAACCATGAAATGATCCTTGAGGTGAATGGCACACCCCTATGCAAACCAGAGTCCTCACTTTACTGGATACTGGATTATCTCAGTCTGAAATTTCTCAACAGGCTGGAGTTCTACAACAAACTATAAGGAATTAGAATAATGTAAAGCAGCCCCACTGTCAACACTGGTATCCTGAGCATCCCTGGTGTCTTTCACAGCATGATGCACAATGCCTAATCTTTCACCTTTGAAAGGGCTGGGAGGAGTGATGACTCTTCTCATGCAAGTTGAGATAGGAGGTAGGATTAAGTGCCTCAGGCTCTACCACTATGATCAGTGTTCCGAACCGTCCGGGGCCCCCGCAAGGACGGCGGGGATAATGCTAAGAGGACGGGACGGGACGGGACCACTAGCCGCAGTCCTGTGTAGGTCAAAGTCAGCTGGGGACTGTCGGGCTAGGCTGGGACCGCCGGGCCCTATGCGCTAGGCCTTTTTGGGTAGAGTGAGACACAAGTGAAAGCGGCTGCTTAGACAGACGGCAGGGGAGATGGAAGGACGGTAGGGGAGATGGGAAAACGGCTGGGATTGTGTGCGGGACTACAGGGGGGTATCAGAAGACGGTAGGGGGTAGGTAAGGACTGTAGGGGGGGACAGAGACGGCAGGTATTTGGAATGACGGCCGGGGACATGTCGGAAAAAATGAGGGGGACCGCAAGGGACGGCCAGGGATGGCTAATGACGGCCGGGAGTGGGAGGGGACCGCTGGGGACGGCAGACAAACTGTGAGTGATATATGGTGATACCCAGTAACTGATACTGTAAATAATATTCCGGCAAAAAAAGGGCGAAGAAGGTTAAACAGATCACCAAGTGCGGTGAGTATCAAGACGAGACTGAACAAATCATTCTATTACAAGCCTTATTTTCCTATCAAATACTTCCCTACATCATTTGCTTTAAGTCAAGTGAGGATGAGCAAGATGAAATAATGAACTTGATGTTTTTGAGCATACGAGGAGAAGAGATCTAACCGAAAAGCTCTACAGGGCCCTACAGGGCCCCGTAGGGCGTCTGGTCCCACCTCCATCTGCCCTAGTCCGTCCATGAGCTCCAAAAGAGACGGACTACCACCAGTGGTCCGTCCGGTCCTACCTCCAAGACGGACGGACTGGACGGTTCGGAACACTGACTATGATTAAGTGAGCATTGCAGAAGAAGGACTATGCTCACTGCAAGGCTTATAAAAAGCTTTTCATCAATTAGAAGAATTAGGAGGAGTATAAAGCTTATACTGATAAATATGTGTATAAGTCAATTAAGTGGTGCCAGTAGTGAAAGCACTGACATATCTTTTCTGATGAGTACATTTTTGACCTGTTCTATAGAGGGAGTGTTTGTGTCACTTTGACTTCAAGTTCTGACCAAGTGCTACCATGCAGTGGCCATTGTATATAGTACAGTTTCCATAGTGGACATGTATCATTTATGGTATAAGGAGTGATCAACTATGGTTAAAAGTCTTTTTTTATCTTCCTCCAAGGTACAGGGCCAAAGGGAGTACTAGTAATCACTCAGGACTATTTATATCAGGTCCTTGAGCCCATTGTTGCATCTGCTTCATGAACCTCTTTGAGTATGATACTTCTCCAGAGGCCCAGTATATTGAAGACCAAGCCCTGATCCATGAAACAGGTAGGATGTTGAGAGAGGCCAAGAACACTTTTGGTATTCTACTTCACTATTGACTACCTTTATTGCCTGACCTCCACCTGATTGAGAATGTATGGCAGATACTTGAGCAAAGGGTTAAGGCATGGGATAACTTTTCTCAAAATACACATGATTTGAGGGGGGCTGTTCAGGAAGAGTGGTATCATTTACAGCCATCTGCATGGAACCTGTATAGAGATAGTATCCCTGTAAGGCTGATGCAAGTCAAGGAATGGAAAGGGATGCAAACAGTTTTAATGCTTTCCATTTATTCTCATTCATCTTCTCTACTATACTTGTTATTTTTTGAATTTTCTTAGTACTCTTCTTATTGAGCTATCATTGTTGCTTTGAAATAGTTTATCGTTCATGAGATGAGATTTGTAGTTGTTACCGGTGATTTTTGTCGATAGCTTCGTACAGGGGATGTATGAGTGGAGGTATACATGTGTGAATTGCGCTGTGGGTGCGCAGATGAGTGTAAGGGGTTTACCCTCATGTGGTGTCTTCCACCTATGTATTAGATAGCCATCTTTCATAGAGGAACAACCCACTACTCTCCGCCTTCGATCCCATCGACAAACTGTGTACTCTCACCACCTCCATTACTAGAATCGATGGGATAGAACAAACTATTGGATTAAGTAGCAAGGAATAACATCCTACAGTCAAACGCTTTACCATGAAATCTTAAAAACCCGTAGTTGAACCACGCGCTATGTCTCTCCGTCTCCTCCCCTGGAAAGGAGCGGCTTTATGTTGTCTCTTATCTCTTTGAAAGAGACCGGGAAACTTGGATTTCTCTGTATACTCGCCCCTATCCTAGAGGGGGCAATGGTGGATTGTTTGGCACGCGCTCCCGTGGTTCGAGATTCTACGGAGGAGGGGTATCGTGGGGGGAGCCGGGAGTGAAGGAGTGAAGGAGGGGGGATGTAAGGAAAGACTGGCTATTACAAGCCGCAACTCCAGCACATAAACTAAACTACCTATATTGGGATGTGTCCAATCCTACCGCGACTTTAAAGAGCATGAATTAGTATAGCTGAAACTATCCCTCCTACTACACGGGTCGTGAGCAGGTGGCTTTGGGACAAATATTGGAAGTCACAAAGTCCGGGGCTGCGAGAAATCAGGGGAGGTGGTCTGAGGGTGTCTCTCTGGCTCGTTGACTTTCTCTCTTGTTTTGATCATGATTAAACTAAAAAATTCAACACCACATTCCCGTGCCAGCCCCTACCATCTTAGAAAACTCTTTGGTCACTCTGTCCATACACCAGAGCCAGCGGAATGGCCTCCTGTGATTGCTGGTCGAGCTTTCAGTGTGCATATTGCCGTGACAAAACGGCCAACCAGACCTAATATTAACTTTTGATCCAGAATCTCAGCAACTCGAATATAAGAGTAACCGATACATCGGGACAATTACTTATGGGGGACGGTATTAAGAGTAGCTTTTACTTATTCAGTATAATCGAATTATTTCTTTAGGTTGGATTGCGTTCCCCGGATGGAGCCAGACACAGCGCCAGAACACGATACTTTATACTATCGTATACCGCTAATACTGTGGAGTAGAATGCACCCGCAAAGCATAATACCTGAAACTGTATCTCGAATATAAAATTCGATTCTGAGTGATGTTGCCCTTTGCATCGAAACCGATGCTGCGGAAAATGTACTAATTAATTCAACTTTCTTACAACAACCTAGAGTAATTAGCGGATTATTAAACAGAAGAACTCAAAAGTGAAGTCTTCTCACCATCTGAGGGGATTGTGTCTAGGGTGGTTCTGCACAAGAAGAGCAAGCCGTATCTACAATATTCTTGTCCGCAACGCCAGGAGCAAAGAATGTTCTTAAAAACGCGGAATCTTTTCTTTTCCTCTGAGCTTTATTAGCGGCGAGATTGAGAATTGAGACAGCCAGAGCAACCATCTTCCTCTTCAAAGTTAAACAATGACGAACGCAACCACAACAGCGGCAGAAACCCCAAATAACTACTAATAAATACGCATTACCTGTGAAGTATGTTTCCTCCCTGATGTCTATGATTCTCCTTCATTTTTCGTGGGGTTGACAGCTTGAGTGGATGAATTTTCCTTGGGGTGGGCTGGTTGCCCGACTGCCCCAGTTCTCAATCAACCCGGGGGCACAGTATCATACCGCACTTGCACCACCACATTCGCCGGCCATTACTCCTCTTTCTCTTTTCATATCCTTGCTGTCCTGCACTTCCTGCACTCTCCGCGCGTTTCTACCTACCTTTTTCACTTTGCTCGGTCTTTTCCCGCTTTTTATTCTTTAGACACCCCTCCCCGGTTTTAGCCAATCTAAGCACGTCCTACGGTGTTCTGTGAATTTCCATTTCTAACAAAAGTGAACCACATTATATATAGATTATATATATGTGTACCCCGATCCCTTGGAAAACAGCATAAGGGAGAACGCAGATCACGAACGTCTAGGTCCGTAAAAACTCCAATATTACGAAAATGAAACAAAGGAACCAGCGCAAGTGTTTTACATCGTGCTGTGATTTTATCATGTTTTTCCAAAGTACTATAGCAACGCCACAACATGGAAAACAACCAACCCGCGAACGCCTTGCCCTTTTCCGACAAGCAGTCATAGATTCATAGATGGCGTGATTTACTTAAGCTACTTGACAGGAAATGTTAGAAATGTTAAAGTAAACAGATATCGTGCACGTGCGGCAACGAACGTGGAGGGAAAGGCGTTAGATAAACTTTTACTCACATGAGATCGGAGTATTATGGTCCCCATAGCCACACAAAACGTCTGTCCCTACCGGAACCGCCAGGTGACTACCGGCTCAGGTCTTCTCACCCCTAGCGATTCCTCCACACACACTTGCGGCACTCTAAAATCTTCCCGGGCGATGTGATTATTTCCGTGCGAGAAAGTGTCGGGGTAGGTGCCGAAAAAGTGAGTATGGGAAAAGTCATTGTATATCAAGACGGGGCCGGGTATAAGGATCTCAGCCACTGGGACGGTGCTTGAGTCCCCCTGAGGAGCAATAGGGGCCGGCAGAGAGATTGGAAGAGTAATTCTGAGAGCTTTCTGTGCAGTATTGCAAAACTGAGAATTCATACACAAAATATGTTTAAGGGGGCGGGCATACCTCGACGGAGGATAACACTGAGACCGAGGACACCCACCGGCAGAACCGTGGGCACCGGAGGAGGGGTATCATTGCAACAAGTAAAGTCAGAACAGCTATAGCAAGTCCAACTAGAGCTACTGGACTTTTGACATCGCCGTCATCTTCCCCTTTGCCCTGGGTGAGATCACGTTTGCTGAATTGTGGCGGAAGGGTTTCGATCAGAAGAGGTGAAATGACCGGCATGGTTGTTGAAGGTGACCCCGCGCCGAGAGATGTATCGATACTATGCTGTGCTTTGTGTGAAATGCTATATGTAGTGGAAGGAGATGCCAATTAGCTTTTTGGGGTAGTCTGGTCAGGTAGTGTAGGGATTGTGGGAATTTCGCAGAATTGGAAGAGTTATGATAAACCTGTACGATATGGAAGGGAGATGGAATGAAGTGAGGAAGCAGGCCAAGAGTATCAGTCGTAGTTCTCAAGCTACCGAATCCAGGCGGTGCATCAATAGAAAAGCACATTTGTCTAGTGGATCTGGTCAGACTAATAGAGCAACAGGTAGCGGGCGTCTCATGGCTGTATAGGCGGCAGCTCTGCATAATTAGTTCTGTGAGTTCTGTGAAAGTGTGGAATCGGAGCCCGATGGGTGAGATGATCACCAATACCTTGGCACAAGGCATTGTAAGTGTGTAGCTTGCCTCAGCTCCCCCTGTTATTGTTATTCTCCCACGGTAGACCACGGTGTATGGTATGCGGGGGGCAGTGAACAGAGGGGGACAGCGAACTGCACGGCACGAAGCATCTATACCTTGAACCAATCGCCGCTACAAAACGCAACCAAGGGTTGGTTGTGGGGGTGTGACGCCTCACATATGAGAACCAGGGTCAAGAACTGGGGAGGTCGAGGCAACCGGCACATCCCCTGAAAACTCATCATCCTCTCAAACTATCAATCCCACGAAAAATGCCAGGAGAATCAGTCATCAGGGAGGAAACATATTTCATGGGTAATGCGTATTTACTAGTATTCGTTTTGGTTTTCAACCATTGTTGTGGTTGCAGTTATATTATCGTTTAAATTTGAAGAGGAAAATAGTTGCTCCGACTTTCCCGGCACCAAATCTTGCCGCGAGTACTCAATGTGTAAACCTTCCCCTCCGACACCACCGGCGCCCAAGATTTCTATTTCTATTTCCCACTGGGCGAGCTAACGGGGTCTGGTGTGTCCGGCAGGCTGCCGTCCTGTATCGTCTTGTATCACTTTCTACGTAAAAGTATGTTCTAACTTTAGCCGTGGCCGAGTGATACACCGTGATGGGTCCCCATGCGATTGTCCAGCAAGATCAAAACATACGCTGATACCGACTCCAAGACGCAACCGATTTATCGGTCGAGACAACAAGCTAACATTTGTGGCTAAGGTAGGCTAGGAGAGTTTGAGCATAATGCCTCTAGCATCGTCTGCTGCAAAGCATGAATCACCTTGATAAGGTTGCAATGTTTAGTGTCTATCAGTGGAAAAGCAACCTTTTAGGCAGTCAAAATTATTTCTATTTAGTGATTTATGATACCCAAAAACTACTGTGTGATTCCAGCAATCTTTCCTTATTGAATAGTGTTTTTTCCTCTTATTTCTGCCAAGTGTAGAATTGAGCCAATCTTAAAGCCCAAAAAAAACATGAGGATTTTGGCATAGACTTTGGTCCTTCCATGTGTTATACTTGGATGATCATGACAGAAAGGTGGTAAAGTGACTCATCAAAAGTCTTGGTGATTGGGCACATTTACACCAAAACCCGTCATTTTGAGGGGTCCCTGAATGAACTCCTATCTAAAACTGGGGCAAGAAATTTTCCAAGTAGTTATATAAGTATGTAGACAGTATCATCCAACATATTAGAGATCTCACTAGCCTGTTCCCACCATGCTGTGGCTTCTCAAAGATACTACCTGGTGATGATGTGTTGCTATGGCAACTATCTCCATAGTAAACCAATGATAATGACAACTTTTGGGTGATGGTACAACTTTACAAGCTAGTAGCACCTGCAGTTGGTACTGAGAAGGCTT